TTTTATACGCCGTCTGCGGGCATGCCCGTGTTGATGCACGAATGTGTATTTTTGCCCGTTGCTGCTTTCGCGGTCAATGTAATATTGCAGGCGCACCCCTACAATTACGAGGCGAATTGGAATGGTCCAGAAAAACGCGTTGTTTGGAATAGCAGTGGGGGGGTGGAACTTCATGCAGATACGGGGTGGTTTTGATAAGTGGTTCCAAATGTTTTTGCCCATGGTTAAGAGATGGCAAGTTTTTTGGAAGATGTTCGCAGCCAAAACGCATTCTTCCGTACGTCGCATTTCTGTGTAATTTCGCATGTGGTGTGGCATTATGTCCGGGATGATGCACGTCTTTTTATTTTTACCGTAGCTGTTTTGATATTGGAGTAAATGCTTATTTTCGAAACATCCCCATTTCTTTGAAATGTTTTCGTCCGTTTATGTGACCGGTAGCTGATGGGGACGGAAATGTGGGGTGGTCAGTGGTCAGCATTACGAAATGTAAATACCGATGACGTAATCCTATCGATTTCGAACTGGTCGGCTGTGGCGACCTAGTGGCAGCGTGTATTTAGTCACGTAGCAACTGGCCGGTCGTCCTAGCAACGAGCATGCTGTACACATGGCCAATATTTTTGGGTTGGGCCGCTCCATAGTGTTAGTGGAGCAGCTCTTTGTAAACATGGACAATATTTTTGAGCAACCCATCAATGTGTTCTGCCTCGTGGTCGGATGTGGTCTGGGGCTGGTAAACCGCACATACTAGCAGATCGGGTAATTTTATGATTTGCTAGTTGTAAAGGCGTCTTGTAGTTTGAGCCGGTATATGAAGAAGTAGCCTGTGTAACACAATCATGCTTTCGGCCGGATTGATGTGCAACTGTTACTAATTGCAGGGACTGCGCTAATGCCGACCAGTCGCGCTGTCCTGATACACCGCGAATGTGCGAGTGTTCCCTGTAGACAGTCCCTGGAGTCATTTTTTCGCAGATTCCAGGAGCCAAACCAAAATACGTTCATGAACCGAGTCCAAAAAAACGAAACGTGAAAATCGGATGATTGGACCTGATGTACATTTCTCTTTCTGTAGATTGTACACACAATACACACATATTTAGATAATCTGACCATGGCAGGTTAAAAAAAAAGTAACCCTGAATCATACTAGATTAGCGTAAATGCATGTTTATGCGTTCAAAACAAGAAAAGAAATTGTTTCCGGGTATTAATCTCTTGAATCACGGCGCTGAATATTGACGCAAAAATATTTCGGGCATCGCGCGCCCTTCCCGTTGTTTAGACTGTATGCAAATCCCGCGTCACGTGTCGGCATTTCGCATCTCTGATTGGTTGTTACGTCTTAAGATGACTGAGCCGACGCGCGTTTAAACAATTTTTCCTTGCTCAATTTATCACACTTCACAGAGAATTGTCGCCAATGGCTACTTCTTTTTGTTGCAATATATAATACTTCACGGAGAATTGTCGCCTATGGCTACTTGTTTTTTTTTTCTGTGAGCGACGCGAATACTAAGTAATATGCCGCGGAGGGACGATTTTGCTGCCGAGGAAGTTTTTGCCGTGGAGAGAATGTTTCGTGCTCCAACAAGTCTGCTTCCAGTCGGCGACCAAAAAGGGCTTGGGATTAAGCTAGCCTTTCATAGAGGCCATATATTTGACATGGCGGAAGCAGACTTGTTGGAGCGCGAAACCTTCTCTCCACGGCAAAAACTCCCTCAGCAGCAAAATCATCCCTCTGCGGCATAAAAAAGGCCGACGCAAAACAAGTCTGCGAAGGAAGCTAGAGCTTTCCCATGGAAGATGGAGTATGTAGGGAGAAAGGGTGATTTACTTCCGTAGTAATATCAAAACGAGTCCTGGACGAGACATTTCGAAGTGAGAGCACAAGCGAATGGATTTCCGTGGAACATTTGCCATTTGCCAGTCAAAAAAAAGTACGTTGGGTTTGCCTCCCCCATCAGCTTCTTCCAAAACTACAAGAAAATTTCTGATAAAATATCTCGAAGTGGATAATTCTAAAAAAATTTTTTTTCTATTCTGGATTTTTAGTATGTAGGTACTAGTGGCTTAGGTCGGATATGGAACAAGTAGCAAATTATTCAAATTGAGACTTAATTTTGTAAATCTAAAATTCTCTAATTCTAATGTTTTACATAATAGAGCTTGTATATATATATAATCAAACGATAAAGTTTTCATGATTGCATAGACACACTGATTTGATAACGTTTCAATCTCCTGCTTCTGCAGTTGTATATCCATCGAATGGTCAAAGTCTTCAGCCCTACTGAAGCCAAGGGACTAGCTACTCTGATACGAGCTACGAACCAACATCACCACAACGTCAAAAAAGTAAGTGAACTAGATATGCCGACATTTTCTTTCGACCAAATGTAGCGGATGGCTTCATCAGATTTTACGATATAGCAGGGAAAGAAGGAGAAACACAAGGGAATACAATTCTTTACATTGATATAACTATAGTATGAAGTGACAACAGTTGGATAGCTCTCCCCTACATTATTGGTCAGGATTTTTAATTGCATAATGCAAACTGTTAATTTTCAAGATTAAAAGAAGCGTTTATGTCTTGGATTCCAATGCTGGAGCAGGAAAGCTTGACAAACCTACCAAAACCCTTGAATGCAGTTCATTCTGTTAATATGGCATGGCTTTGTACAGGTGTTAATTGAGTTAAACCAATCAAATCCCAACGGCCAATCAGCAATTAGAATAGATGAAAGCTGCATGCCTATTGGTTGCTTGCTCTGCATGCCATTCTGATGATGCATGCCCAAGTATGCCAATACACTGCTATAGTACATTTTCTATATCACACCAAAAAAGCTCAAATAAAACCACTCTAAAAGCCTGTATCACAAAAAAATAAAAAATAAAAACTAGCCTGGGGGTATTTTCTCACTCTACCTTCCCGCCAAATTTCATGTTATTTAGCCCAAAAATGAAGGAGTTAAATCAATTTAAAGGAATGACAGGAGGGGGAGAAGGAGAAGAACATGAGGAAAAACAATATGTCTTCACCACATCACACCCTATATTGTGGGTAGGTGGATGTTTGCTGTTGCGTGGTCCCCATGTTAAAAATGGCTCGTAGTAGCGGGTTTTTGTTTGTTTACTGTAAATGACCGCGGGTAACCCCAGATCGAACGCCCGTTCGGTTCGAATGACGTCATATCGAACATAATTTGCGGGTTCGGGGCTTGATATCCATAGCAGCAGAGTGGGACATCCTGTTTTATGATTCCGTTTTTGTGTGACACACGTTTGTAACTTATTCTGATTGTGTGTCATTGTGTTTTTATTGTGTTCACTCTTTTGAAAATCAAATGAAAAGAGAGAGTTGAAAACTATATTTTTTCGTGAAACATTGTTGTTTTCATTTTAGTTCAACACAGAAGATCTTTTGACAGCAGGGCCTCTGGTTGAGGCGGCAACTGTCCACAATGTTACTGACGATTTTGGAGACATCTTGTATCAAGAGGTTGTGGAGTCTTCAAATGTGAACCGAACGAACGAGGTAGGGAAACATTCCTTAGACCATGTTTAAAGTTAAAACTTTTGGTCCAACACACAAAAAAAAGTTATCTCACCTAGAGCTTTCGACCAGTCACTCTGGTCTTCCTCAGTAGACTGACCCAGACTTCAGCCGTCACGCCACGTACTAAATCGAACGCGTTTCGAACCGTTTTTATTTGCAGTTCGAATCGATCCGCGATCCCTAGCAACGCCGTTGCTAAGGAAACTCTTTTCGCGCGGCAGTTGAAATTTCATCCGACTTTCACAGCTGCGTTGAGCCTGGTTTGTGGCATATTTACCTTCGTTGCGTTACATGAACCAGACGGGAATGCCATGTACTCTTGACAATTTTTGGAGGGTTTTACAACATATTTTGTTAGATAAATGGTCATATTTGCTTAACAGTGAAATCCTCAAAATGGCGGTGCCGAACTGAGCTAAATTTTCGAGGAAATTCACATTGGGGTCATTTGCATGTCGCCCTCGATATTGCCTTATATGACCATTTAGTAAGATTCGTTGAATCTTTGACTATGTCTCTTGTGAAAATCTTGCTGGATCAAAATCTGGAAATGCTTGTATATTCATATCAACCGGGGCCACGTCCTCGGCCGTTTTACGCCAAAAGTTCTAAAACGTTGGTTTAGTTGCTTCTAGGGCAACCGGCGTTTTAGCACAATTTGCGGTACTAATGTACCTTCTCAACATTGTCAAAGAATGCCTACAGACACAGACTACGTAACTACGAACTGAATCAGCAAATGCTTTCTTACTCTTGCAGGTATTATTACTAAAATCCAACGGTGCGGGTCTGGCGTCTGGTCTGTGGAACGCGCTTGAAGTCCGCGCTGTTTTTGGAACGAAAACGCTGATGAGGTGGCCTCGCGCGATTACGAAGGAAGCTCATTACGTCACCAAAATTGATAACAAATTATATACGGATAGAAAGTAGAGACTTCAGGCTATTTTACGCACTAGATTTCTTTTTGTTGTGAAAACTGAAATAAGGTAAAAACATCGGAGGAATTTCCACCAAAATCAAGTGGTTTCAGGTCATATTATCAAACGAGCAGAGGTTAACAATCGTTTTAAAAAGTCACTAGGAGTAAAATAGGAAGCTTAATATTCACAGATACAATGAAATAATGAAGATATATAGTTATAAACTCAAGCAACAAGCTTTGTAGTAAGAGGTCCCGACTCCCGGGGATTATAGAACGTAAAATTGTCTCAAAACGGCGCGCGGTTCGCCGTGAGAGTCAATCATAAATCTTAAGGTCAGATTTATATCACTTCGGGTTTGTGAATTGACTTGAAACTCGGAATCCATACACGGGAGACCAGTGTTAACATAATCCCACATGTAAATTTACGTTCTACGGAGCGAGGACCTGTCCAGCGTAGGTGATAACTAAAAATGTCAGACCGGGCTCGTTCTATTCTGGAATCAAAATTATGACATGACCTCGCGCGTTTTGGGGGCATCTGCATGTCGCCCTCGAAATCGATAACAAGTTATATATCAACACAAACTAGAATCTTTGCTCTTTCATACACACCAGATTTCCTGTTGGATCAGAATCTACAACAAGTTAGAAATGAGAAGGGGAATTCCACGAAAATTACCTGCTTTCGGGTCAAATTCTTGAAAGGATCACGGTATGCCATTGCTTCAAAAATGTATACTATAC